TCAAACTCATGACTGCGTACTTGCAAGGCAGGCACTTAAGTCAATAAGCTAAATCTCTAGCCCAGGACATGTAATTTATAGTATTATTTATAATGATTACCCAGGGAGTCAAATACAAAAAAATTGCAGGAAATCTGTCCACAACACTAAACACCTAGAAAATCCAGCAGAGGGCCTGGATCCTATGGCAGTAACCTGCTTGAGTTCAGCTGAAAACTTAGAGCCCATGCCAATGACTCATGCAAGTCTATTTCATGAATCTGTACGGGGAAGGCCCAAAGGTCAGCGCTGGAAACTAGAAAGTTTATGCCAGTGGGGTGGAGGAGCTGTGCCAGTAGGTTGAGAGTTCTGCAGTGGAGACAAGAAATGATGCTCAAAATAAGGACTAGGGCTCCCCTGAAAAGTACCACAGCCATCCTCATTGACAATGAGGTCCCAAGCTCCTCCAGTGGTGATAATGGCTGAATTCATATCAGGAAGCCAGAGTGACAAACTTATCTTGGAGATTAAACAGCACACATTTTCCCCTACAGAGCCAGGAAGCAATGTGTAAGGTAACAAGAGTTCCCCCAAAGAACTGTAGCCATTCTCAGCAACAAGGTCCTGAGCTCCTTTGATGATAACAGTGGAGTTCATATTAGGGGAGCCAGCATGACAAGGTTCCCCAGGAGGACCAGTGACGCCAAACAACAGCAACACCTAGGAGAACCCACAATGCTACTCTTCCTTTCCAGGTCTCCTTTTTATGCTGGCAGCAATCCTCAGGTGGGCCATTCATGCTCAGTACCACACTGATCCCCTTCAGTTGATGTTTAAGTTGACCACCAGTTACCAGTCTACTACAGATATCCACTATCACCATTCCTATTCAATATAGTTCTGGAAACATTAGAGAAATTAGATAAGAGAGAGAAATAAAAGGAGTAAGGATAGGAAAGGGAGAAGCTAAATTATCATTATTTGCAGATGACATGATATCTTACACAGAAGAGCCCAAAAACTTCACCAAAATACTTGTGGATTTAATAATCAAATTCAGTTGCATAGTTGGATACACAGTCAACTCTCAAAAATCAATACTATTCCTATACAGAAACAACAAGTTCATTGAGAGAGAAATTAGGGAAACCAAACTCTTTTCAATAGCATCAAAAGAAAGAAAAAAAGAGAGAATGAAAGAAAGGAAGACAGACAGACTTAGGAATCTAACAAAGAAAGTAAAAGATATATACATTAAAAATTACAGTATTCTGAAAATGCAGATCGAAGAGAATATCAGAAAATGGAGAGGTATCCCTTGTATGTTTTTTTAAAATTTTATTTAAAAGGAAAAAGAGAAAAAACAAAACAAAACAAAGCGGTGTAAGGGTACAAGTAATACAGAACTACAAAAAAGAAAACAGTAAGAAATCACCAGTTAATAGATTACATATTATCATCTTAGAGATAGTTGCTCACATCACAGTATCAAAGTGGACATTCAAACAGTGAGACTGCAAACAGTTGTGTTCAATGATCCAACCAAAAACATTAATATGGTTAGCTATTTAACACCCCTAAACACACTTGCTGTTGTATCCTTTAGAGCACTTTTTTTCCCTCTCTTTTTTACAACAAAATTTACACATTTTGGGTTTTATTACTTCTTAGTTCTTATTACTTTTTTTGGGGGGGGGAGAGAATAAAGTCAAATATGGCAAAACAAAGCTGTCAGTCAAAACCAAGGATAGACATAGCACATGATGTAAAAACAGAGTAAAAGGTTATCAACAGTGGTTACCATAATGTCACTTGTTTCCTTCTCTTGTTCTCAACATACTGAAGCGTCTATCTCATTAGATATTATAAAGTTGAACAAAACAGTAGAGAACAAGACCAATAAAACTTAAGCATTGTAAACATTACAGGACTTCCAAAGGGGACAATAGTTAAACCAGAATGGGCATCTTAGTGAATCTTATTGCCTTCAAAGTAGTTGCCTATACCCTCAAACTTGGGTATTCCTTGTATTTGAATAGGAAGAACATGAAAATGGCCCTACTCCCAAAATTGATACGGATTTAGTGCAATCCCGGTCAAAACAACATTAACATACCTCACAGAACTAGAGAAACGATTTCTCAAATTTGCTTGGAAACAGAAGAGACCCTGAATAGCAATCTTGGGCAACCAAGGCAAGGCAGGAGGCATCACAGTCCCTGATTTGAAATTATATTACAAACCTATGTGATAACTTAACATGGATCTGGCAAAAACAAATGAACAAAACAATCAACAAGAGAAACAGACCAGAGGATCAGCGGTACAGATTAGAAAATGCAGACACAACTCAAACACACTCAGCCACCTTATGTTTGACAAAGGAGCCAGACATGTTCCCTGGAAGAAAGACAGACTCTTTAATAAGTGGTGCTGGAAAAACTGGTTCTCAACATACTGAAGTGTAAAACTAGACAGACCTATGTCTATCACCATGTACTAAACTAAAGTTAAAATGAATCAAAGATTTAAACAGTAAAACAGAAATACTAAATCTACTGGAAGAGACGTAGGTAGAAATTTTAAAGATATAAGATGCAGGCAGAGAATTCATGAACAAAATCCAAATTACATGAGAAATACTTCAAAGAATCAACAACTGGGGTCTCATTTTATTAAAAAGCTTTTGCACAACAGAGGAAATCACTAACAGGGTGAAAAGACAACCCACATAGTGGGAAAAATTATAGCCAGTTTTCCCTTAAACAAAGGATTATTATTTAGAACATATAAAGAATTAAAAAATCAATCCAAAAATGGGAATCTGAGATGAATATACACTTCTCAGGTGCAGAGATACCAAGAATAAGTAAATATATGAAAAAATATCCAACATCATTGGTCATTTGAGAGATGAAATTAAAACATCTCACTCCAGAAAGAATGACTATTATCAAGAAAACAACCAATAACAAATGCTGGAGGAGCTGTGGGGAAAAAGGAATACTTCTCTGCCGTTGATGGGAGTGTAGACTGGCGCAATAATTGTGGAAATCAATGTGGGGATTCCTTAAAAAACTAGAATTAGCAGTCCCATTTGATCCAGCTATTCCTTTTCTGGGTATTTTCCTAGAAGAATTAAAACATCATACTACAGTGATAAATGTGCACCCATGATTATAGATGCACAAATTGTAATTGCTAAATCTTGGAGACAACCCAAATATTCATTGTCCAAGGAATATATAAAAATGCATTTTTATATAACAGAGTACTACTCAACCATTAAAAGAGAATAAACTTCAGGCTTTGGTAGGTAAATGGATTCAAGTTGAGACCGTACTCATAAATAAGTCAGACCAAAATGTGTAAACATTGTGCCATCTCACTAGTGTAAAAAGCTGAATGAGTAAATAGGATCTAAAATGTACAATAGATACTGTGAGTCAGGAGAAACTGTTCAAAAGAAAAGATAAACTGTGATGGGGGAAAGGGAAAAGAAAGAAGGGAAAGAAAAAAAAATATCTCCAAGATCATTAAGATAGTTATATAACTAGTTTCTCTTCATTGGAAAGAAAGATTGACGCTAATATTGTTTGGACAATGTTTCATGCTTTTATTTTGTACTCTAATTGTTTTGAAGATAACAATATGCAATGTATTTTTTATTGTTATGCTCTTATTATCTTGTTTTGAAATTCTGTTTTACTTTATTCTCTCTAAAATAAAAAAAAGAAGAGCTATAAAAATATAAGAAAAACAGGCCCTCCAAATTTCTAAATGAGTTGGGAGGTCATTGTTGACTGCACAAAAATCAGTAATTTTTATTTATAAGGTTATAAACTACCAGATTTTCTTCCATGGACTTTACACTGTGTCCTCTGTTTCAAAGACATTGTAAATATGCGATGTACTGAAGTCAGATTAAAGGTCCACTTAAATGTACTGAGATAATATAAGGGGATTATCAGCACAGGAACCTGGCTGTCTCATTCCTAACCCCTAGTGCTTCCTTGGGTAAATTTACATTGTCAGGAAAAGCACAGGGATAGTCTGTGTGACACTGAGTATTAGTTCAAGGTGTTTCACAGCTTCAGTCTGTGATTAGATATGTCCCACTCAAAGCCGGTGATCAGTAGCTGCTCTTGGTAGCAAGAAAGGACTGCAGAAAAATCAAGGTCAAACTACAAATGAAGGGGTTGCATCCTATCTGATCCAAGTTTGAGAAGTTGGACACTCACCAGCAGGCACATAAATCCCATGGCTAAATAACTGTTACAAAGAATGTAATAATAATATGCATTGTCTTTCATTTGTGTGTTACTTATCCAAACAACTGTAAAAGTGTTAGAACATAAAGACTTACTATTGTTCGTACCTGTTGATTTAATGAAAGGAAATACAGCCTACGGGGCCATGTGAAGCAATCACCCACACACAAAAGACTGCCTGAAACTGGAAAGATTGGGAACCTCGAGGCAGAAATCTTACTTTCTGTGTATTTTTTGACTTGAAGAATTTTTTAAAAATATATGTTTTAGTGATTATTAATCTTACAAAATCTTAGGTGTCAGTATGGTATTTTCATACAGGCATGTAATATATTATGATCGTATCCAGGTCCCTTATTCTTTCTCTGAACTCAGCAATGTGTAGTAGTTCCACTCGTGTGGTAGTTCAGGTATAATCAGAAATAGCAGGTACAGCTGCATTGTAATTGGAGCTGGATGAAGATGCCCCCCTGGCACCTGAGAACACAGGGGCATGAGCTGATGTGAGACTTGGGTTATGGCAGGACCCTGCTCTGGGATTTCTGTCCACTGGCAGCAACCTTCCACCCCTAAAGCCTAAATGTGAACATTCACCAGGCAGCTTCCCATACCACTGATCATCTCAAACCATGCTAGAAAGCTATTGGAGAAAGTACTGTATTTAAGAAAACTCACTGACTTCTCTTTCCCTTGTGTTTTCTGCATAAGATTTGGTTCAATTACTAATAATATACCCAGAAGGGTACTTACCAGTGTACCCAGAAGACTCAGTATCTGGTTTTCCTGTGCCGTTATATGTACCCAAGCACTGTCCCTTACTTTGGAACAAAGAGTTTCTGTGTAGTTCCTCTGTCATCTTGGGCAGAAGGAGCCTCCTTCTGGTGATGTGGTTCCACCCTTAAATACAAAAACAAAACAAGAAAAATCCCAGCCCCACCCTTTTCATCTAAAGAAGTCAGAGATTACATCTGGTTATTTACTTTATGTACTTTTAGTAACTTGGGCCAATGGCTCTTCCAGTTAGAACTCTGGAAGCAGAGCAGCTTCCAAATCAAAAGCTCAAATCAAAAGAACAGGAGCCAGTATTGACCTGGGAGTCCCCAGTACACAGGATGAACTTGGTCTAAAAGATAAGCAATGTTATGCAAAATTTGGAAGCCATGCTTGTTTATATTTTACCCACTGATTAATTGCAATAGTGGAATGCTGATCGAAATAGTGACTGAGATGCTCTTCAGGCTCCTTCTTTTGCTGCTAGCTATAAATCAGGTGGAGGAGTTATCAGTCCCATTGCTTATCAGTTTGACTCTTCAAAGGGACAAGAATAAAAAAGGACAATCGTGTTAATGGCTGCTACATCCAGACTTCTCTTTTAAGAGTTTTGGTTCAATTAACATCTAGAGACAATGATTATTTAAAAAATTATAAATCTCCCATGTTATTAAAGTTCTTTTAAGTGTACATGATTGCCCAAGCACTTGGAGGAAGAGGATGGTCTTTGAAGTCACAAATCCTGGGTTCAAGTACTGTGTTCACCAGCCAGTATGGCAGTAATCTTAGAAAAGATTACTGTATGGCTCCTTTTATCAGCTTCATTTTTCCCAACTTAAAATAAGTGTAGTAGTAAGTGATTCAAATTATTGTGGTGGTTAGATGGAATAATGTCCATCCAGAGCCTTGTATTAGGAAATCCTGTGGATGATGATAAGGGTGATGGTAATATCTTTCACAGTCACCGAGAGTGAACTGTAAGAGATACTGGTGAACTGAAGCAAAAGAAGCTTCTGAAAAAATAAATCTTTCCTTGATTTCAATATGTATAACCATAGTCTTCGGCCCCGGCTCTGGAGGCCCTTGTAAATGACTGAGTGTATTGTTTGCTCATTGGAATCACTCAAGTCTTTTTTTCTGGCTTCTTCAACATCTGGCAAGGAGATGGCTTGTTAACTCTTCCTGTGACTATGAAGAGGATAATATTTGAATAACTTTAAACTTCATTTTTACCTAGAAAGTAAGCTGTCTAGACTATATTAGCTCAAGCATGTGTTTTAAAAACCAAAATGTGTTTGAAATTGAGTGAGAGATACTGTGGGGGATCGGGTGACCACTGATGTTGCAAGCCTAGTAGGTTCAACACTCCTTTGATTTGTACGTAGCACACACTACGGAGGTCTCTGAGCCTCACCAGACATGCTGCTAATGGAAGGGGTATAAAAGGAGTTGAAAATGAGAACAAGCATGAACATGGCCACTTTATTATCTTTTTTTCATTAGTTAGAGATTTGTATTAATTAAAAATGAGGAACTATCCTTTGGAGAAAACTTTGCTTTCTGCTATTCTGTAGGTTTTCTTTTTAGCTATATGTTAGGCCAGAAGATGAGGAAAATTCTATGTCCCCTATATGCAAATGGACCTAGATCCTAATAAGCCAGATTAATATGATTTTCAGGAAATATGGATTTTCTACCTTATAGGAATATAGTAGGATTGTACTTCATGGCCCTCTAGTGGTTGATTGGGAATATGTAACCAGTCTGCTCAAAACACAGTGCCTGAATGTGTGTCTTGCTGGGCCAGGTCATAGTATTGCCAGTGTGGATTCCGTGTGACTTTCTCTTCCTTCAGCCTGGTAACCAGCAACTGTACAGTAGCCTGGATCCCTGTGTCACTATGGAGAGCACAGCCTACCTGCAGTGGACACACACATCAAAGAGAAAGAATCCGTTTTATTTCAAGGTATTGAGATTTGGGGATTGCCGACTCCTGCTTGAAGCCCAGCTGAGTGAAGCACTGCAAGGTTATTTCCTGGAATTCTCCTTTCTTCTTTCCTTTTTGCTCTGCTGATTCATAGTTGGAGCCATAGAATTTAGAGTTAAGAAGAACAAAGTTTACTTAGTTTTAGTCCTGACATTGTCATGTCCAGCTCTTAAAGTTCCCAGGGGAAAGACAGAGAGGATGGAGAAATAAAGATAAAAGTCAGAATGTAGAAAGCTGGGCTCAGGTGGAGGCCTCTCTCCAGATGGGAGGAAAGGAACTGCTCAACCACTGAAGTGCGTTTATTTATACATTCAACAGGTTGATGTGTCACATAAAGCCCCTCTGCCTAGTCAACTGTCTGCATGGAAGTCTCAGGTGACTTGCCTTCTTGGAGATGGAGCAGCTTGTTCATGTGGCCTCCTCCGGTGCTCTTTGTTTTTGGGACTGGCCTTGCTCCAGCCTGTGTATGTGATCATTTTCCAGCTTCAACCTCTCCCCATAGATTATAAATTAAACCTACTAAGTACATTTATTTTTTCATTCTCCCTGCACAAAACAAAGTCAAAATATATACAACTCCCCACCTCTCAATTCCTTCAGAGAAAGCATCTAGAGGTTCCACATAAGCCATGTCAAGGATTTTTGCTTTTACTCTTTAAGAATTTGTTTATATTTGTGTTTTTGAACACTACTGCAGAATGGATACATGGGAAGGAGCTGGAGGAAGCATCAGGCCTACCCAAGGTCAACCACTGTGATGAAAAGTGTGTTGTCTCTGCTAGAATTGATGAGTCAGTGATTCACACTTCTACCATCCAAAAACTGGAGCAAATAGCAGCTACTCTTTACATGTCTTCAGATATCTTCATAGCTTGATGAGAAGCTTGAGGGGAAGCTACCACTATCAGTGAGGTTTGTATTCCATGTCTGCCTGAGGAGTCTGCACTTAAGTGGAAATGTCATGGTGTTTTAGAATAGGATGGTAGTGTGGGGTGAAGCACAAAAGGAATTGGAACCTCTTAGTGTTATTATCTCTACAGTGGGATAACCATCCTCACTCCACCTAACATCCAAGGCTTTAGTAAGGATTATGTGAGATAATATTTGCAGAAATTCTTTGTGAATGCTGTAGCACTCTCAAATCTCAATAGGCTTGCTTGCTTTCTCTCTCCCTTTCTCTTTCTTTCTTTCTTTCTTTCTTTCTTTCTTTCTTTCTTTCTTTCTCTCTCTCTTTTCTTTCTCCCTCCCTCTTTTTTCTTTCTTTCCATCTTGATATCCTGAGACATACCAAAGTGCCTGATATTTAGTAATGCTTAATAAATGTGAAGCAGTTAAGTTAATATCCGGCCATATGTTCTTGCTTGTGGGGTTTATCTAGGGTTATTTCATGATGTTATGAGTCTGGGAGAAGTCAGGACTCCACATCCGTCTCTTGAGTGACAGATCCTCGAAAGGAGCCTTTCCAAGCTTAGGTAACCTGAGAGTTTATTGAAATATATGTGATATGGGTAGCCTTGGGTCTCCTTGTTAATTCAGCAACTCTCCAGATGGCTTCTATTTACTCCTCCGTGGTCTACACTTTTACTGTTCTTACCCATCTTGGTCTAAGTACAGAGCTTATCTGCTTCTCTAGTCTACAAGAAAGAGCCCATCTTTGCTACGTATTATCTGCTTAACAACTGTATAAAATATTCAAAGGGCTGCAGAGAGAAATCTCATTGCATCTTGCAGAGCATTCTAACATCCCAATGGCTCTGTTCTTCATTTTTATTTTAATTTTCTTCCCTTCCCCCTTTAAACAACTTGGACATTTCTCTCTTTACATCTGAAGAATTCAATTCTACTCAAACCCATGTCCTTCATAGCTTATCCTTTTAATCCTCCCTGCAGTTTTTTCTCAAACAAATGCAGCTCCATTTCTTAAGACACCTTAAATACCAAGCTCCAAGCTCAGACACCTTAAATACCGAAACACCTTAATACCTAAGTAACCACAGTGCTTATTAACATCAATATGATTTTATGTTATTTGATACAAATGTGCTAAAATCATTTAAAATTTTCTTTCACAAGTGTACTTTATCAACTTTTTAAAATGTCTAGGGATCATTTCTATCTTTGGTGCAAAAAAAAAGGGGGAGAAAAACTTAACAACATGATATTCCATCTCAGATATAAGGCATATACATATATTGGAAAACAATAAGACAATACATGATTTCTTGAATTGTTCCATTATCCTGTATTTAGCTCAGGCTTGTGACCGAGATAGTACTTGCTAAAAACCCCAGTGGGCCACTAACAAGTCACATAACTTGGGAAGATCATTACTCTAAGTCTGTTCCCTGATGCATAAGTTGTCAGAAATAAATGCAATTAAATAAGATTGAATCACTTTGTAAGATGTATTGGCTTTTAGTATTTTACCCAGATTACTTAGGTTGCTACAACTTGAAATAGCTCAGTATCAAGAGGAATTAACCCTCCTCTACACCACTTTCTCTTGGCCATCAGCTCGAAGTAGGGAGATATCTAACAATGAGGGTCCTTTCACTGTTTATAATTAAAGTCTCTCCCCCAAACTATGTCCTGTAGATAGACAGACATTGAAGAATAGTATTAAAATGCAAGCCTTAGCTATAGTCATGCCAATCTCATGAGTAGAGCAGCCAGTCCTTCCAGTGGTTTAGTTGAACAAGTGTCAGAAACAGTACCATCTCAACTTCTCCAATGGGTGGACAAGTCCTCAATGCTTTGCTGAATTTTCTTTGAGTTGTACAGTGGTCTCAGCTGTTTCTACTTAGTCTTTCTTCCTTTTGTCCGTCACTGAGAGTCACTATGCACTGTGGTCTGATCAGTCGTCCAGCCTTTTCCTACCCTCTCCCTGTTTTTCCTTACAAAGATATTTTCCCTAATGAAACCCTTACTTTCAATTTTGGAACTGACCTTAGAAGTAGTGGTTAAGGCGAATCAGACCTTAGAAGCCGTTTTCTTAGCTTTGTTAATGCCTCCACTAATCATAAGGCAGCATGAACAAGGTCTGAGCAGGTCCTCACTATCCATCTCTAGGGTGACAGCCAAAGTTACAGGTCAGTAGTGGCATCTTCCAAGGTGAAAGACTGGCTTCAAGTTTGCATCTTTCTCTTGGTTATGCTTGAAAAATATTTATTATTTGAAATAATTGTTGGAAATTTCATTAGCTATAAAAGTTTTAGTATTTCATTTTAAAGTGCCTTTATCAATGCCGAACAAATGTGACACTTTTGGCCTTGGAGAAAACAAAGGAACTATCATCAGCATAGGAGAATTGACATGAAAGGTCAGTAAAGAGTACCAAGGACAGATTATGGAGGGAATTATCTCCAGCTAACATCTTTATTTTTTATTTTCAAAAGCAAAACAGAAAAAAGAATTTCTAAAGAATAGTAGGAAATTAACACTAGTTAATACGATGCATATTGTTATCTTATTGTTATCTATTGTTCAGGTTACAAGATCTAGGCCTAAAAAAATGATCAAACAGTCAAACACTGACAGCACAAACTGTTCTTCCCAGCTAACATCTTTTGCAGAAGAGCAAACATTGTCAACTGTAGCACAAGCACTAGAATGGAACATGAGGAATTTGGCCTTGAGTAATGAAAAATGTTACAGACTAATCTCTGAAAGCAGCTTTTTCTTTTGTAGTGAGACCCCAGACTAGTGGTTCCTAAATTTAGTGTGCATAAGAGTCACCTGAAGGCTTATCAAATTGCAGACTCCAGCAAAGATCCTGATTCTACGTGTTTGGGTTACTGTCACATTTAAACCCAGAACTGCCCGGCACAGTTTGTCTGGGATAGTTTAATGTTTAGGATATAGGAAGTAGAAGGATAGACTGGGTGAGTTGTCCTCAGAGGCAGTTTTCTCTAGAAATCAATTATTTGTCTTTAAAAAGAATATTTGGAATCATCTCAGGAGATTTCTGAAAAATTTTTATGCTCTAAATTTATCAATCATTTTGGAGCTAGTTTTTCCTCCATTGATATAATATCAACCTAGCAAGCATTCAGTCTCTTCCACTGTAGAAGGCCCATTACTAACGCTACTTTGGGGGCAGTGGTGAAGACAAAATGAGACAATATCTGTGTAGCAGGACAACATCTTGCATATGATAAACCAGGAGGTGGCAAATTTCTGAAAAGGGCCAGATGGTCAGTACATTAGGATTTGTGGGCTACTGGGCTCTGTTGCAACTTGTACTCATCTGCACACAAAAGCAGCCAGAGACAATGAATGTGTGTGGCCGCACTGTAATAAAACTATTTCAGAAAAGCAGGTTTTAGCTGCATCTGGCCCGCCACCAGGAGTCTGCTGACCTTTGTTGTTAAGGTTTATGATCTTTGATAACTTGGCAAGGTTTTCTTTTTCTTTTCATTAAGGTTTTCTTTTTTATTAAGAATTAAGTACATCCGCCATTTGCAATTTTTTTGGAAAGGAATTGCTTATAGGAGCAATGAAAGCAGTATTTTTGAGTGTAAATGTTGGTATTATGTCAATGAACTTTATAAAAAATTTCCACCTAGAGAGATCGCCATTATGTGGTTCCAGATCACTGAGGGTGCCGCAGTGGGCACCTAGCCAAGCTGCCCCAGCCAAGATTTGATAAATTATCAGCTTGCATACAGCAGCAAAGATTCCATTTATTGTGCAAAAGCACACCGATATACAGACTTTTATGTTTAAAAAAGCTGTTTACAAACAACTGTTTGTATCATTGAAAGCTCTGTTATTGTGTTTTTCTTTTAAGGCAAATGATCTTAGTATGAGTTTTTTTTTTTTTTTTTTTTTAAACTAAAACCGGAGTATTCAGGTTTAACCTCAGTGCGGGCACTTGGCAATAAATATGTGGGCTTTGGCTTGTGATCTGAAAAGTTTCACCATCACTGTTCTAGGGAGAAATCCTGGCCAAAATTAAGAACAGGGTCCCCAAAGGAACGGAACAGATGAAAAGAAAAAAATTTGCCTACATCTTCAACATCTTTGATCTTTGCCCTTTTTTTAGGGCTTTGCTTTGGGCTCATAACATAGCTTATCTCCCAAAGTTTAGTACGTGGAAAGAGCCACTGGGGTGAATGTTCCCTAGACAAATGTTTCTCTGTCGCATTGCTCAATGTTTATTGACACTGAATGACTTGTCTTTTTAGTCTTTGGTTCCAAGAACATGTTTATCTATCCTAACTGTTATGCTTTTATCAGATGAAAAAGATTACAAATTATTAGCATTTTGCTTGGGTTATCGGCAAGGTTAGCACTAGACAGAGGGATCAGTTGGTACAGAGCAGTGATGATGAACCGTTTAAGCTTTCAGTGATAATAAGCCGCCGGCTGCAGCACGCATAACATACGTTCGCCACCACAGGGGTAGTGCTGTTCATTTACCTGGAAGATATGATTTATCCCATGGTTCTTATTTTTCCAAAATGTCAAAGATTATCTTAAGTGTTGTTTCATCATTATCTTTCACTGTAAATTCTGTCAAATACTTTTTAAAGCTGAAAGAGAAACCAAATATTATAAGTACTTTACCAATAACGAGGTTTTTATAAGTAAGCTTATTTGTGTGGTAAGGTTATGATCCTCAGTTTTTAAGTCCAGCAAATCTGGGCTTCAATTTGAGCTCCATCTGAAAGCCAGCTGTGTGATCTTGGTCATGTTACACAACTACGCTGAATCTCAGTTTCATCATCTATAAAATGGGTACAATATCCATACCCATCTGAGAATTGTGAGACTTAAAATAATATTTATAATGTACACATAACACAGTATCTAGTCTATGATAAACACTATATGTCTATATATATGTACATATATGTATTTTCATCTGGCTGTTATGCAGGTATGTTTTATGTTTTCATCAAGAAATGTTATTTGCTTGCATGCCAGCATAGGTGTTGTTTTTACATTTATTTTCATATCCTTACCCCTATTCCCGGTACTGTTAAGAACCTAACCTTTGCTACCAAATAGAGTCTGTGTGGAAACATCAACAAGCATATTGTGCAAGAGTTTTAAATATTTGCTTCAATTTAAGTCTTTCAATAATTTATACCATAGGACATGCTTTTCATCTTTGCAATTCGATATTTTCCACATATAATTAAAACCATATCGAGGCTGAAAACTATCAGATCTGTGTTCTTTTATCATACTTTTGGGAGTCTAGTGAACTTGAGAAAAGGGTGGGAGAGCAAAGAAACTTTGCAACACTTCAGTTTTAAACATAGACCTCACTTTCCTAATTCCCCACAATCCTGTTACTTATTTCTCCTAACTTTAAAATTTGGAGTACAGCTTTTATATTTTTCCTTTCCTTTTTTTTCCCCTTGAAACTGTGCTGGCTGGTGAGACAACACAGCTAGAGGTGTTATGCTGACATATTAGAACCCATAAAGTTGGGAAAAAAAAGCCACAAAAACAGCCACAAGAGCCAGGATTTTCATCAGGAAAGAAGCTGAGAGGTTTGGAGCGGCCTTCACAGAGCGAGTCTTCAGAGGCTTCAGGATCCTTTGTTTCTGGGTGAGGATGGCTCTTCTGGCTCCTTCCCACTGCCCAGGTCCAACGAGACGGTACTGATAGGAGTTGCAGGGCCCGAAACAGAGTTTCACAGCCAGCTCGGGGTCTTTTAACAAGAAAGAGATGAGGTCTGGCTTGGCACCTATCTCCAGGGCCAGCTCATCCAGGTAGTCCACGTAGTTGGTCTGCACTATCTGGCTCTGGCTTTCTCCAAACCTGAGTGAGGAACATGAAGAGGACAGATTCATGGACTGCTCTCAGCTCTATGAAACATCAGGAGGCATTTGATAGCTGTTTAACAAATGAAGACATGAGTAGATGAGTGAGGAGTCCTGGATAAGTCTTGGGCTGACAGTGTGAGTTTATCCCATCAGGAGGCCATCTCTCAGATGGAGGGTAGGCCCTCAGCTAACCAGCCACAAGTCCCCAGAAGCTGGAGGGATGGGGCCAGACTGATCATCGAGGTTATTGTTAAGTATTCATCACCCAGCTGCAAGTCTCCGGGAAGCATGTACAAGTGATTGTTGTAGATTCACAAGACAGCACAGTTTAGTAAAAGCCTAGCTCAAGTGTCAGGGCAAAGGAGCTGCTTCACATTTCCTTGTTAAATTACCGACGTACCCAGCAGCCTGTTTGGCGCACAGCAGGTATCCAAACAAATTAGAATTAGAATATAAAAATAACCCCTTACCCAGGTATAAAAGTGGTAGAATTGTAGCGTGGCTGAAAAGATAAGAAGTATGAAATATAAATGACCTTTATTTTAAGAATGCGGGGAGAGACCCCTGACCCACTGGGTTCTCCGGGGGCTGGCATTCTCTCCAGGGTCTGGCAATCTCTCCGTTGGACATGTGGAGTGGGGGCATACGTGTAGCTTAGGTTTGGGGTGGAGCCTAAGGGGCATTAGTGATGCACAGGTGGCCCATTGGCTTTCATTTCACACCACAGGTAAATTCCTAGGGGCAGGAAAGATAGAGCTCAAGATAGAGCCCCCTGGTTCCACCTCCAAGGCTTTACACCAGCTACAGTGTCCGGCCTAGGGCAAGATTCTTTCATTCCTGTTTGGCCCAGACGGGACACTGCAAATGTTTTCTTTCAGATCCAGACATACGCTTAGAGATGTTCACAAATTTCTTCAATATTCAAATGTTAAAATGCTCATGGTTGATAGCCTTTTAATGTTCTATGTTAAGCTTACTGCCTATATTATACTGTACTGTTACCAATCTCCTAAATGTTTAACAACTAAAATTAAGAGGTAATTATATATTTGACTCATGTTAAATGACACCATAGCATATCTCTATCCTAAATAAAAAGGTAAAAATTAATAAAACAGGCCATCCTCCAAAAATCAGATGGCATTAGACATTTTAATAATATAAAGAGGTACTTATATATAACATAAATGACATGTCAGTTCCTAAAATTCCCTGGGCCTTGTCCTCCTGGGAAGCAATTACTAAAGTCATAAATACCCTCTTGATTATATTATTTGACTCCTGAATACTTAATTAAATTCTATAGATACCTTCTACTATAACCAGATCCCAAGACAACAGGCAAAACTTGACCCTCAAACCCCACAGAGACCTCCTTAATAGGGCTTTTGGTGTTTTCAACAACAGAGATATTAGTGACATTTAGAGTTTTGAGACAGGTAAATCGACACAAGGTGGAGCTGTCTGCCCCACCCCACCATGGGCCATGCCTCAAATGCAGCAGAAGGACACTGGGCAAGAGAGTGCCCCATCCTGGCGTTCCTTTGAGATCTTACCCCAGGGCTCCTGGACTGTCCTAGCCACCAGAGTGTGGGTAAGCCATCCTAACTTCTAGCCCTCACAGGAAATGCCAACACTGCCAGATTCATCATTGACAGATCTGCTTAAACTTGCTGCTGAAGACTGATGGGGCTCAGGGCCAACATTAGCCCCCTTTAAGGTGACCTCCTCAGAGTCCTAAGCCCCACTAAAAGTCTCAGGTAAGACATTCTGTATACTTGTGGACATAGAGACCACATATATAGGGTTCTTCCTGAGTTTTCAGGTTGCTATATTAAGTCCTCAATCTCTATAGGGGGTATTGATGGTTAACCTATGCCGTTTACAAACAGAGCCTATTTCACGCAGGTTCCAGACTATTTCTTCCCAATCCACCCAGTGGTGTCAAATCCTCCCTGCACTCACTTTACAGCCCTAAATCTTAAAAATGCCTTTTATTTCCCTGTGTTTATACAGGCTGACCCAGCCACTCTGAGGTCTCAACGGCTTACACCTGTTATTGCTAGTAAACTTCGCCTCAGAGATATATATCACCCCCTTCCTTTCCTATTCACCAGTTTCTCAGACAAAACCCTGGTCAAGACTGACAGATAAATTTTGTCTTCTCACCTTTGTTTATACTTTTTCAGGATACATAAAAGCCTTTCCCACAACCAGGGAGACTGCTGATATACTTACTAAAGTCCTGTTACAGCAAATCATCACAAGGACTACAACCAAGTTAAAGCGGTCCATACCTGGTCTTCTTGACAACCTCAACAGCGATCAAAGTTGCTAGACTGCCATCCTGGTTTCACATCACTGAGGCTAAGTGGTGCCCTTCCAGCCCTAGATCTCACCATCCTTTTGCCTACTCATCTCCACCTCACCAAGGCCTCACAGCCACAACTCCCAGGCTGTCATGCTTTGTTATCCAGTTTGGTTCCTAATTTCTCATCCTTTTTACAGCAGGACTCTCAACAGTATTTCCTAAAGACTCCCACATCATACATACCAGAGTCAAGCCTTACCTACCTACCCTCTTAACTTTTACCCTTGCAGACGGGGGAATAATCACCTCTCATAACTTCACTCCTCATAACCCCACATTTATTTTTCAGAATTCTACCTTACTGTGGCAATGATTCTACCTCAATGTGGTCCTGATATAATGACATATCAAAATCAAAGGAACCTTTCTTTCTACCTCACCTGGGTCCTTAAATATGACAGTGCCATGCTTCCTCATAACACCTTGTCTCTTTGTTTTTCCATTCTAATATACAGGTATTCATCAGTGATAAAGTTGTCCTGGCTAAAACGCCTGGCACCAGCTTCTACATGGGCATCAACCTTCATCCCGTCAACACTCCTAAACCCCAGTACAGCACCCTCTTCCAGCAGGAAGCAGCAAAAATCTCTGCCCTTTTTCCTAATAATCAAAATATGGGACTGAAAGGATTTTGGCCTAGATGGGACACTGTAGCTGGTGTAAAGCCTTGGAGGCAGAACCAGGGGCTCTATCTTGAGCTCTATCTTCCCTGCCCCTCAGAATTTACCTGTGGTTCAAAATGAATACCAATGGGCTACCTGCACATCACTAATGCCCCTTAGGCACCACCCCAAACCTATGCTACATGTATGCCCCCACTCTACATGTCCGACGGAGAGATTGCCAGACCCCGGAGAGAATGCCAGCCCCCAGAGAGAATGCCAGCCCCCGGAGACCCCAGAGGGTCAGGGCATCTCTCCCTGCATTCTTAAAATAAAGGTCATTTATATTTCATACTTCTTATCTTTTCAGCCATGCCACAATTCTAATCAAAAAGGTGCAAGTGAACCTTTTAAGAGCACTTATTACTGCTGAACTATGTTCTGCCTCAGGAAAAACAAAGATTTCCTACCCCAAACCTTCCCTGATTCAGTTGGATAGGGGCTCTACAGTAATTTACCAGAGATCCTCAGGCTACTGCCACCACCTCTGCCCCTGCCTACTCCCACTCAGGGCAGAGTATGGGTGACCTGGGAAGATGTGAAATCTCACATAGGCGACACACAAAGCTGAAATGAAATTAAGCCAAGAAAAAAAAAAGTTCTAATCTGGTACAGTTTCTCTCCTTGTTTCTTTTTCTTTTCTTTTCTTTTTTTGTCTTTTTCCTTTTTATCGGTACCAGGGATCGAACTCACGACTGCCTGCTTGCAAGGCAGGCGCTTATACCGCTGAGCTAAATCCCCAGCCCCTCCTTCCTTGTTTCTTCGACTACAGTGTGAAAGAATCATCTGGGAAGCACATAAAAATGTAAATTTCCACTCTCGCCTACAAACCTTCTGATTTAGTAGGACTGAAAATTTACTATGTATCAAATAGCTTTTAGGTAGTCAGATCACTGTACTTTGAGAACCATTGTTCTAAATAGACAGTTTTATAAAAAATATCATGCTTACAGGTCAATTCTTTTTTCATTCCTTTTGATAATGTCCTCCATCATTGTTTTCTCTGAAGGTAAGTGACACAAGCCTAGAAAAAGAAAGGTGGGTTTCAGTGGGGTTGACTCATTTATCATTGCTTGACCCAGTAATTGGCTCTTAAAATTAAATTCTCAATGTGAAATCAGGTCATACAGGACACAACTGCTGCACTGCTGACCTCCAGCTGCCCAGGGAGCACAGGCTGCTGCATGGATTAGGAGGTGGAAGAGGTTAGGAGAAGAGGCCAGACAAGGTAAGCATGGTTGAGGTGCTTGGAAGCTGTGTTTGGGATCTGTCCTAAAAGTGGTAGGACCCTTGAGAGGGTTTCCTGCACAGGGTGAAAAGATTACACTTTTCCTTTGGAAAGACTCATCCGCAGCTGAGTTTAGAACAGCTCCACAGCAGTGGGCCTCTAGCTGCAGGGAACAGACAAGAGGCTATTGAAGCAAACCTGGTGAGAGATGAGAGTGGAGGACAGGTGGCAGGGATAGAAAAGGTCAGTGTGAGTTACCAAGTGCTTATAATTCTGTCTCCTGTCCACAAGTGTCCTCTGGGTTATAGATGGTTCTGAAATGGCCAAGGCCCCGCCTACGGCTCGTCATTGGACATCTCGGATTCAGGTAGTCCAAGACTGAGCTCATCATCAAACCCTGCCTCTATTTACCTCACTTTCAGTGCTAGAGATCCACAAGATGCCCTTGATACCTTTCTTTTCCCACACTGAACATGCAATTATGTCCTGACGATTTCTATTATTCCTCAGATTTATATTCTCTTTTCATGGTATCTCTGCTCTGGCCCAGCTGTCATTGTGTTTTAGCACAGATAACTGCAGTAATTTTCTCATTGGTTGATGAGCTTCCACTGTTCTCCTCCTTTAAATCTATGTTCCACTCGACTGCTGAAATAATGTGTGATAGAAATGTCTGAGAATACCTGTCCTAGTTTATCCCTACATTGGTGTCTCTGGCTGGAGAATTTTCTATGAGGCAGATGCTGCACTGAGACGTAATTAAAATGGGCCATAAGATGCAGCCAGATTTGGGAAGAACTGATGTATAGTTTATGATGCAGGATTCTTAGTACAGCATGCAAAGTTTTTGTGTGCCATCCCCTCCTTCTACCCCTCCAACCTCTGCCTCTTTATGTCTCACTCCAGGTACGTTGGGTAGCTTATGGCTCTCCATGTGCATCAAGCCTCTGTGTGCTTGTGCCCAGGTGATTTCTTTTTTTCTTTTCTTTCTTTAGTTGTTTTTATTTTTTATTTTTTTAAGACAGGATTTCACTACGCAGTTCAGACTGGCCTCAAATTCAGCCTTCCAGTTGCTGGGATTCCAGGCATGCAGCACCACGCCCAGCCTGTGCTCCAGCCTGTGCACCTGAGAAACTTAGTCATCCAGGAAGTTTTCTTTGACCCTCCCCTTACCCACTCTGCTAAGTACCCGCTCTCATCTCACAGCACACTCTATCAAAGCATTTGCCACACGTTAAAATGATGTAGTTAAATTTTTCTCGTCCCACTAAGTCCCAGCCCAGGCTACGTCTTTACTGAGTTTCTGTTGAACACAGTGGAACTCTGGAAGTAGGAAAATCATAGCTTTCTAAGTAGGGTGAAGTGCTGCACGGATACACAGAGACAAACCTTGCGATCATTTTGTAACTTTGTAGGGATTGGTGATGTTGAGCCATGCACTCACCTTTGAAAACTCTCGTTGCCCAACGTGCCTGAAGTTCAACAGTTGGGAAGATGGAGCCTAGGGGCTGGATGAGACCCATGCATGTGAGGGTTGGCTTCTCCAGCTGTGGGGGGAACATGTATTTATACAGCGAGACCATATTATGCTCTATTTTGACAAGTGACTCTTCAAGAAAAGGAAAAGAGAACGTATATCCTGTTGCAAAGACAATGACATCAATGTCCTCCTCCACTGTCCCGTCCTCAAAGAGGGCGGATGTTTCTGTGAGCTGTGTCACTCTTGATTTCACCTTGACGGCACCATAGAGTATGCGACTCGGAAGGTCATCGTTCAGTATCGGCTCTTTCATAAGGTATCTGAGACACAAAGGAAAGAAACACTCAGAAGCCTCTTCTGCTAAGGAATCTTGAACTCTTAACATTTTTTTAGGGGTAGCTCTGAAAACTAAGGGGTTTCCAAATGTCTATAAAACTGGAGTTTGACTAATTGCTTCCTCAACCTTTATTTCTAACTTACCATGATCTCACAAATCTCACGCTCAGAAATATAGAAAAGCATGTAGGTGATGTTAATTGAAGACACTTTACTTACAGAATTAGTTTGTTTTTGTTTTTGTGAGATAAGGTCTAGCTGTGTGATTCAGGCTGGCCTTGAACTCACTACATAGCCCAGGCAGGTCTTGAACTTGCAGAAGTCCTCCTGCCTCTGCTTCCGAAGTGCTGGGATTACAGATGTGGGCCTCCATGCCTGGCTCAGCTAGTCATTTTTAAAAAGGAGAACTCCCCAAGGACTTAGATAAAATGCCAACACCTCTGATTAGTACCCAAGTAACCATATTATTAAGTTACTGGTGTTTATTAGCCTATTTATGCTTCTACTATTTTTATGTTATCTAGTTTACTAGATTTTGGTGTTTTATTTAATCCCTACCTAATCATAAGTAAGGAGAGGAAATCATAAAATTCATAATGAAATCTACTTTGGCATCAGTGTAAAAATGAATGGATAAAGCTAGGTTTAGTAATATTGGTTGATCTCAGACTCCATTAAGTCTTTACTTATAGGCTGGATGATGGAACAGTTTGGTTGTATTTCTGAAGGTCTTTTTGGAGATTTGAGAACTCTTTTGTCAAATTGAGGAATAGAACTACATGGTATTTGTCATAAGATTTGAAAGACCTATTTTTTTTAAAAGAAGGAGACTGCTATCAACTAAGTGAAAATAAACATCTACACTGTTTTGCTTGTGCTTAAAATATCAATAGCATATAACATGAAGATCAGTAAATATTTATCTTTGGCAAAGAGAAAGGACTATGATATCAAACACTGCCCATGGAAAGAGCTCTCATAATATACCGAATTAACAAAACACAACTTATCAGAGAGTTACAAGCTTTCTACCACATCCTCTGGAAAGAAAGCTCAGTCTCTTGAAGCTGTCTTTTCCAGTGTTGGACAACTTTAAGGGTTAGAAAATTCTTTCCACCAATCCTAATTCTGATTTCTTGAACCACTTATAACATCCATGCATCGTCTTCCTAACTATGTTTTCAAGACATATAAAAACAATTTAAAATTCAAACTCCAAGACCTATAGGAAACATATACTGTTAGCAATTTGGACCTTTAAGAAAGGCAGCTTCAGACAACCTTGTTAGCCAATGAGTATACAACAAAATAACTTCACTTGTTTTTAGGCTCCAGACTATAATTTGCATGGTTGAACCAACGATTTAACTGTTGTTCCATCATCCATTTGGAAACTGTTCGTGGCAGGATGTTTCGGAGCATTGACTTAAACCTAGTGTGGAACACCATGTCCCATGGATAACCGTCTTCGGAGATTCGGCTCATGACCCAGGAACCATTTCTGGTGCTGATGAATACCTGGTAATCAAAAAGGAATGTAGTTTAAATTCACACATTATCGCCTTTGGGCAGAGTCTATTGTATCACCATACATAGGTATTATGTTTACTTCCAGAATTTATTGAGTTTCTTTTTTTTCCCCTTTTTTTCTTTTATTTCTTTTGGTCTCAATCATCTGGGGGGAACTAAGACTTAGTTTTCACTGCTCTTTGGCACCTTTGTCATAAAAGGAGGTCCTGGTGACTTTTATATTGATAAGGCAGGATTTCATGGAGACATGGGAAGACCTTTGATTAATATATATCTTTGAAGATGCGTTTTTATGTTACTCTTTTATAGTCCAAATATGCATTTGAACCGCTTCTCAAATTTTTGTAGTCATTATATGAGTTCTGTTATTTAGGGCTGTCCTTCATAAGTGAATGAGATTAATTTGTAAGAAATCTAATTCACATGAGGTTAAGATCATGTGTTCTGAATCCATACTGCCTACTATTTACTATTTGAATCCCAGCCCTACTATTTACTAGCTGTGTTGCCTTAAGTGAGTTATTTAGAATTTGCTTTGCATTCATTTATTTTTCTTTAAAATGTGAGTCATAGCAGTACCTCCATCATGACGCTATTGTTCAGGTTAAGTGGAATGATACTTCTGAGGTATTTAAAATGTTGTTTAGGAAGTATAAGCACCACTATCTTTATTATTTTCTAAATTTGGGCTATGGCAGGGGATTTAATACAATGCCTCACACCTGGAGTGAGCTAGAATTTAAAGACAAATTTTGTAAGGGAAGAGACCCATGCTTCAGGCTCAGAGCCAAAGATTTCCTTTTGTTGGGGAGTGTGTGGATGGCCCAACACCATCCATAGTACCCAGAATGGTTCTTTGGAGGCTGTGGAAGAGAGTTCTGAATCCTATGAATTTCCTTGGACAGAGCAAGGCATGCTCAGGATTTTGGTGAGTTTAGTTTGTAATTTGAAGCTTTGCAGATGTATCTAGTTCCATGTCTTATAGACATAGCTCTTGTAAATTCTCTGATAAGTGTTCCCAAGAAAGTTTGAGAGTATACTACCTTGTATAGTAGTTTGTATAACAATGCTAATTTATGTGATTAATCAGTATTGAAGAGACAGCCTGTGCAAAAGGTTGTTTAATGAGCCATTTAGCACACAAATATTGCCAGTGTGAACTCTTAATATTGAATCTGGCATCGTAGCAGGATATTTAACAGGCATGACTCATATAAAGAATTGGCTCATGCAATCCATGATTTGATATCTTTGGAACATTTGTTCTAACTTCAAATCATTCACCTGACCACATGTCATTGTCTAGGTTGTATCTTCACATGGTTGGCTCCCTTTACTTTATCCATCACACTTTCCTCTTCTTGTCTCTATGGAAGTTTTTCCCAGCACGAGGGAGACTGGGGCCAGTAGTTCCCACTGCACTGCTCTGTTGTTCTCTTACAGTCATTGCCTCCTTACTGGTCCCTCAGACTGAGGGCTGAAAGCACTGAAAAGTAAATCATAACGTCTTTTCACAAGGAAAGTTAGGGCTTCTTGGGTCTAGTGAAACTCATTTATTTATTTTTGGTTAACCTACTGTGTTTTTAGGTTGGCTCTGACCAATGATGACTCTGAGATGTCCAATGTAAACTCTTCTCTGACCCGCTGTGGGGAAGGCACTGTGTTTATTGCTCTTGGTAATCCTGAGTCCTCCAAATATCAGACTCAGGACAGTAAAATTTCACTGGTTGTGAATGTGGCCATGGTTAAGTTTTGTGTAACCAGACATGCAAGGCTGAGGAAATTAGTGTAAGAGCCATTAGGCTCCTCATTTAGGCCATGTTGAGAAGAATTGCTTGGGAATGGATTATTAGTTATAGTTGCCATCTTTGCCTAGGTCAGCCCTAGAGGGGATTTACTCCTGACCGTCTCCATCAACGTTACGTATATCTCTGACGCTTGACCCTTTCACATTCAGCTGGTGCCATTCTTGTGCAAGTGCAAAGATAAGTATTTGGAAGGACTCAGATAGCACTTCAGTACCTATGATCTTGGTTTGGGTCACTCCTGATTAAATATTCTTTTCCTGATAGTTGGGTCACTGAGGATTGGCTTTTTTCAGATATGATTCTCATAGCTCTAAATTTCTAAAAGATACTCCCCCAAAGAGGCACACATCAGCTTCTTGTTAAGTACCCTGGTCAGTTACATAGAAAATCATCTATTTGAAATTTTCCATGTAAAAAGTGAGGGAACCACAGTCTAAAGAAGTGAATGACTCAGTCTAGCATAATGACTCATTAGTGGCAGAGCTGGAGGAACAATTGTGGCTTTTTCAATTCCAGATTTTCTGCTACCACAGTGGGCAACCATCCAACCAATTAATGGACATTGGAACCTTGACTTATGGAGCTAGGATTCTTGAATGTGCTGTGCCTCCTTCATTTCCCATCGTGCAAGGTAAGCAGTAAACACCGCACCTGAGCAGCATTTTTACTCAGCTCGGAGGCAATATCTGAGGCTGAGTTTCCTATTCCAATCACCAGGATGCGTTTTCCCTCAAATCCAGCTGGGTGCTTATATTGACGGCTATGGAAATATTGGCCTTTGAACCGTTCAATACCTTCAGGGGAAAGAAGAGAAAAGTCTGTGAATGTCTATGTTATCAGTCATGTCAAGTAAATTTTAATTAATTTTTTAACTTTTCCTTTGTAGGGTTATTGGGGCACAATGATAGTGTAAGGGCACACTTATAGAATAACCAACTTACAGACATGTTATAGCAAGTTAAAATTAAATAGTAGCTCCTACCTATGCTCCTGCTGCCTGTCACAACACCTGCTGAATTCAGTCAGCCTTGACTATCTGGGTCCAGCTGCTTTTCTTCTATAATGCACTGGGCCAATTTGACTATGCTCAGCTTATGTTTCTCTTAATTAGAAAAATATATTGCTTCTAACTGGCTTCAAGGACTTTGGTTGGGGCAAAGTAACCCAGGCAAAGATACTTTTAAACTCTGCTTGAACCCTCTCCCCTCATCCCAAGGATGTTCCTAGGTTATGATAAACAATTACTTTTAAGCAAAAAATACTTATGACTTAATTCAGAACAATAATTGAAAGTCAGAAGGTTGAGTAGTGGCCATGTGGGGTTAGGAAGAGAAGCAAGAAGCCAATTTGCCCTTCCTGTGAGCCAGCTGGCATATGGGCTAGGAAATAATAAGAACCCCAACCCTTGTGAACAACTGGCTGATTCAGAGGATCCCAGGCTGAGTTGATAGCAACTGAGGTTCAAAAACAGTTTATTTCTTGTATTGTTTGATTGACTTTGCAGGCCTAAAACTGGTAGTCTGAGCGTCTATTTAGAGGGTAACAATATGCAGTGTAGCAACTATGGGGAATTTCCTTCTGTCTTGCTTTTGAAATTCAATATTGTTCTCACTGTTTTATTGTTTTGTTTTATTCAGTGTTCTCTTTTGACTGGTTTTATTCTGTTCTGTTCTGTTTGATTTTATTATAGCTGATGGTATAGGCAATAATTTTGAAGATAACAAGAGGCATTATGAGCCGGGGATTTAGCTCAATGGTGTAACCACCTGCCTGGCAAGCACGAGGTTGTGAATTCAATCCCAAAAACAAAACAAAACAAAAAAAAAAACCCAAAACAAAACAAAACAAAACAAAAGCAATAAGGTAATCTTTGTTGATTTCCTATTGTCCTGTATCACTTTCACTGTTTTGTTTTTATTGGCTTTATTTTGTTTGGTTTTATTCTCTTTAAAATAAAATTTTAAAAAATATATGACTTAATTTAACTATGTAACCAGTCATGTAGTGCCTTGCATTTCCTGCTTGCAAACTGTATTTAAACTAAAAACCCAAAACTGCCTCAGGGCTGATGATTTGTAACTGAGATTCCCATCAGTCTGCTAGTGTAATAAACAACAGTTGCCTTCTAGATTCCTTGGTGCAAAGAGTCTTCCATTTTTTTCAGTCTGATACTGGTTTTGCGGCAACAGAGTCAATCTTTTGTCCTATCTCTTTCCCTCCTACTGGAGTTACAACGTCAGAGTCAGTTGGCAAGTTCAAAATAGAAGTAAAAATATTAGATACCATTTAAATGGTGCAGGACCACAGAGAGGCTATATTCAGAGACAATAGAGTATGCTTATTGAATATAACATTGATTTTGATGAATGAATCAGGTCAGAGGCTGGCTCTAGCTATCTATTCTCTTATTTTGGACTGTCTAATGACCCTTTAGCATCACTTAGCTATTCTTTTAAGTATTTCTTAAACACATTATCAAGTGATGTCACTTTAATTCTGAAATACAAGATTAGCACTTATTCTGATTTTGTAAAAGCAAATATAAACCAAAACCACAGAATTTGCACATTTAGTACATAAATAAATTATTGGTAGTTAATTGCTGATACACTTCCTGTAATCTTTCACATTTCCCTGGAATATATGACTTCCTATAAGCATTTTCCTTTTATAGTGAAGTTACTTGAAAGGACTTGATCATTGATTCTTAAAATGAGGTCCCTTGGAATGCATTAGAAATATAAGTCCTTAGCTTCAGGTCAGACCTACTGATTCAGGAATCCTGGGTAGATCCTAGAAATTTGTATCTTAAGTCTTCCCTATGATTCTGTTTTGGAACAATTCCTCTTGACAACTGGGGCTCAATCCTAACTGCATTTTAAGTCTCTCAAACAAATTTGATTTCCCTGACTGTACTACACAGTGCTGGGATCTTTGCGGACCGTGCTCAGGTATCAGGGATTCAGAAGCCCTGCTGGGTGATCTGATATAAAGTCCAGATCTGCAACCTGAGAGTCCTGGAAGGAACTGTGTTCTCCAAGGAAAGGGCCTGGGGAGCTTCAAGACTGATGGCTGTGAGGCTCCATTCCTGCACTTCCTCCTGTCACTGTCCTGCAAAAGCATTTATTCCAGGACCTCTGTCCAGTAACCTCTGAAGAGAGAGACTTCAAGGACAAAACAAATACCATGTTTAGTAGGATAGCAAAAAAAAAAAAAAAAAAAAAAAAAAAAAAAAAAAAAAAAGACAAAAAAAGCCAAGACAGGCACATGGCTGGAAAAGCCTCTCCAACAGAGAACTGATTTGTCTGAGAATTCCCTGAAATTCTAATGACACATAGTGACTTTGGAGGAAGTTATCTGGGCTCTGTCTTAATCTTACTGTTATCCCCAGTTGTTCCAGACAATTCTGCCTGTCAGTCTGAATTGGATATAAATCTCCTAGAAACCTATTCCAACAAGCAGAGAATCCCCGCAGCCCTCACCTGGAAATGACTTCAGTGGGATGTGAGGCAGGATGTGGTGGCCGCTGCAAACCATAACTGCATCAAAAACAGCGCTTTGCTCTTTGCCATCGCTCTGAGTAACAACCTCCCATTGGCCAGATGATGAGAAGTCTGGGTGTTTTTTCACAGTAAGGACGGTTGTCTTGAGTAAACGGAGAAGGCATCATTAATAAGGACTCTAGCATAACATGGGTTTTGTCCAGGGCCCTTAAAGTAGGGATGGACGGAGTATAATGTCTAACTCTATTTTGTTTTTTTGTTTCTTTTTTGGAGTTCACTGCAGGCCATCCAGTGTGCCTGTCTCATTATTCCTTGGCTGGCAGCACTGAAGACGTGGTGCTTTGTGCAAAAGTCCTGACAAAGCAGTGGGAACCAGCCTCTAAATGGTGCCATCTCCTGAATGTAAACTTGAGTGAGAAAAGAGAAAGAAGATGGGGTCAGGACAAGAAACACGTAAGTCACTGAAGCGGCCATAGAACGAGCATTTGTCAAGAAACCTTTATGTGTCAAATCTGTGTGGACTCTGGATTAAGGAAGATATTTTATAGAAAGTGCAATGCAGAGTGCCTGGAATATTGTCAGCCCTCCTTGGAAGGGCAGTCCTTACTGTTAATTATTTTTTAAGCATATATGATATTAGGACTACAGTTTATGATCTCATCTGAATGAACTAATTTATTGTCTGGAGGTCTGTTAGTTTTAAGAAGTGCTCCTGAGCTGCTTTATATCCACAGTATGTAAGAAACAATGTCAAATGGAAGCAAAATGTGTCACCTTTTAGAGGGATGACATGCTTCTTCTCATGTCTGCAAAAATTTACAGCTCTTACATATGTATTATGGACTGAATAAGTGTTGCCCAAAGGCCCGTATGTTAAAGGTTGGGCTCCAGGCCATGGCACTACTGGGACCTGGTGCAATCTGTAGAGGTGGGGCCTAGTGGGAGGCAGGTGGGTTATTGGGCCATAGCCTTGAAGGGGGAGATTGAGACTCAGGTCCTTCCTCTGTCTTTGATTCTCAGGCACCGTGAGATGAGTAGTGTGGCCCAGTTACACACTACCCACCATGATCCTGATACACTGCCTCGTCACAGGCCCAGCGGCAATGGGGACCAACTGACCGAAGAAAGAAACCTTTGAAACTGTGACCAGAATCAAACATTTCTTCTTTTAAAGTAAGATATCTTGTTATTTTGTTAGAGTGACTAAAAACTGATTAATATAATATACCTTGCAAATTTTCAGGTACTTTTCAAAACAGTGGGTTGGGATTTTTACAGCTATCTCAGTTAGTGTATTCTGCATATAGAATAGATGTAGAAAGCTCATGAAAGGACTTTAAAATATGTGGACAGTTTTTATATGAGAGTAAAGATTTTAGATTTGTAGTTCAGAATAATACATTAACTTAAGTACTGTAAGTATTTGCTGCTCAAGATGTGGAATGTTAGACATACAGAATTTTAAGACCTCACCCCAGGCTTGTTTAATCAGAATCCATACTTTTTCAAGATCTCCAGGTGATCCATATACACATTAAGGTTTGAGAAGTGCCAATAAAAATTACATTGTCTTGTACTTTTCAGCTGTGCAATTTGTCTAGTTGGTTTTTTTGTATGAGGAGAAATTCGTTTTATTAATATTTGATGCACTATAATCATGAAAGTAAATATTAGTGAAGGGGAAATATTTTTTCATGCAGTATTTGTGTTAATATTTTGAACTATTAACCATGTTATCTTCTAATTCTCAAATTCCCCCTTAACATCCATATTTCTGTCAACTCAGAAACCATAACCAGAAGTGACTCTGTTTAGCTCTTCTTCACTCTCATAGAAACAATCCCAGCAACACACAATAACCAAGAGAAATATCCCCTTTGCATTTTGAGTATGAACTTTAAATAACAGGTAAGTTATGTTTCAGAAGAGAGCAGTATGTTTCATAAGTATATTTATAGCTTTGTGTGGACAAAGATGTACAAGATCTTCTAACATTAAAAGAGAATCTGTCATTTATAGGATAGGTATACCGAAAAAATGGAGGAAAACTATATTAAGTAAAGGTGGCATTTTAATATATTTAAAGATGTAGACTTCCACCCCAGCAAACTGTTATACATTAAATATGGTATAAGCCTGGTACATACAAAATTAGAGTTACTAAGAAAATGAGATATGTTAAAAAAAACCCCAGTAACATTTATTTATTCAGAAATTTCTATGTAGTACTAATAAAAATGCAGCATGTTTGAAGAAAGTACTGTAGCTTTTGTTGTGGATTATTTGATTTTGAGAAAGCACAAGAATAAGTAATTCTAAGTATATTTCAGAATGATCTGACCATCTTAATACTCCTAGAAATTACATCCAGAAAAAACAATGAACAAAAATTACTTCCAAAGGTTTCAGAAATGGAGAGGAAGGTGTTTGTTTAATACATATCTAAGAAATCTCATTTCTGTAGAGAAGTTAAAAAAATAAAAAGCAGTTTGATTTTTTCCCATACATCCTTTCAATGGAAATGAGGCCAGATGGATGGTAATGAATAATATTAGTTTAAATGTAGCTTTACCATCAATATTATCATTCAAACTTAACAGATGGTTCTCTTCTATTAATACAAACAATCTATAATGTCAGGCATAATTATACTATGTTGTGGATTTAGTCATATTCAAACATTTTGACAAAAATTGGAGTGGGATAGTTTAACCACAATTTTTTCATCATCAGAGTAGCTTTTTTATTTAAATAGGAGCTGGATTAATAAACGAAAACTGATTCCCCCAAAAGTACAATACCTGGAACTGAATATATTTTAGAAGATCAAACTTTTTGGCAAAAAGTCTGAAATACTCCAGGAGTTTAGAGTTGTGCAGGAAGTTTGGGAAATCTTCGGGCATTGGAAAGTCACTGAAACAGGACATCTCTTTGCTGGTGTTGGTGATGACAGATTTGTAGATACTTGCTCGGCCATCTTCCACATTTTCCTAGAGAATCAAGTAAAATAATCAGTGGTAATCACATATTTTTAAAAATCTCTTCCTACCCCTGAGTGAGGTGGTTCTTTTTCTTTGGTGGTTCCAACATGCCTAAAATATACAGATGAGGTACGACATTTGTAATTCACCTGTTTGTAGCCTGTCAGTGTTGCTCAGTGGGGTGAGCAGTATGGCATTGATGGGGCTCAGCACAGCAGGACATTTGGCTTCTCAGGTCTCCAACTAATGTCAATGTCAATCTTTGTGACTCAATTAACTTCCTCAGTTTCCCCTAGGAAGTGTTTATACTCATCTGCATCTTTAACAACTGGACACATTGGAAGAGAACATACTGGAGAATTTCAAGAAAAATGAATAAGTTGAGAACAGTAGGTTTTCACATCTTGATTTGAATCTGTCTGCCTTCACCTTGTGCTTTATGCAAATCAACTGTCCTCCAATGACAAAAGGGTGAACATCATTGATACCAATCAGAATTTAAACTTAAATTTTAATGTTAGCAATTGCGCTTTGGTAAACCCCAACTCAGTGCATAGTATGGTGGAGTTTATTATCAAAAGAACACCATAGTGTCTTCTATGGCATGGTGAAATAAAATAAAACATCAATATTCATCTTCAATCCAGCCACCACAATAAATCAGCTGTGCTTGTTTCAGTCTCATCATTATTTCAAAGAAAATAATTCATTTCTCACCATATCTTTACATCTAGTTTCCTTATATTTTGGCAACACTGAAAAAAGTAGCCTGAACTGGCAAAAGGGGCTTCATCTGCAGAGTAAGATGCAAGTTTAAATCCACCTTTTTCAAACTGTGAGTCTGGACTGGTCAGTGCTTGTGCGCTTCATGTATACAGTAGCAGAGCACTAAGGGCTCAGAAGTTGTGTCCATTGCTACTGATCTTAGCTCAGCTGTGTACCCTTAGCTCAGTCCACTGTTCACTTCAGTGTGAAAGGCCACCCAGGCTGGCTGCTGTTAGACACTCTTGCTATTATTGCACATGTGTTTTCTGTACAAGAGGTTTTACTTGATCTCAAAGAGTGAAAAGAAAGGAGTAAACTTATGGGAAGCTCTCTATGTGTATTGGACCTCACTGTGATCTAATTTTAAGGAGACTAGCAACGAAGCTATGATGATGTTTAGTCTCACATCATGCATTCTGTCTGAGTTACTTCTATCATTGCTGAAACAAAATACTTGACACCCAACATTAAAGGGGAAATATTTACTTAGCTCACAATTTGTAGAAATTTCAGCCCATAATTGACTGGCTCCAATGCAGGGTGGCATGGCAGACAGGAGTTGCAGAGGAGAAACAGTTCATGGTGGGTAGCAAAGCAACAGGGATGACCATGGCTCTTCTTATCTCTTATATCTTATCTGGGCTACTTAGGAAGGGTAGCATTCACACCCTAATCCTGTGCCCTTGATCCTAGCATTGCACCATGAATCAATCCCAGTGTCACATACTGTAGATCCAGCCACCTCCAAAAAAGCCCCATCTACATATGCATGAGACTTTACAAGGGAGATCTAGACACAGGCTATAGCATGTTCTAAGAACAAACCTTGTTACATACAGGCCTATTGTTTGCCAATAATTTTCTTCCTCACTTCTGCTTTAGCTCTTGTCTTTACACATTCATTCATTCACTCATTCATTTACATGTTCATTCTTTCACCATTTATATTTTCACTCATGGCTGCCATCCAAGGTTTTTCTTTTTTTATCAGCAGTATATTCTCAGACCAGATTAAAAAATTAAATGATAACTTTGTTACAATTTCAAGTTGTATGGAAACAGCCAATCGGATTAGTGTATGCCAGCTTTCCGGGTGGTTGTTTACTGTAACGTTAGTGTTAATTATGAGAATTCAAAGTAGATTTGAAGTAGACTATGAAAGAGATTCTGTCATATTTATGGGGATGGAATGATCTAAGCTTTGCGTGAGTAAGTAATGGTATTTTTATTTTCAAACACAAACTTTAAATCATAATCTGATGTGCAAAGTTTTCCTGTTTGTTTCAGCAATGATTGAACATAGTGTCCTTGGCAAGACTGACTGTTGGAATTTCCTATTCAACTAAATTCTTTTTTTTTTTTTTTTTTTGTCTTTTTCATTTTTATCAGTACTGGGGATTGAACTCACGACCGCCTGCTTGCAAGGCAGGTGCTTATGCCGCTGAGCTAAATCCCCAGCCCTCCAACTAAATTCTTAAATTGAGAAATATTTAATTAAGCAAACAAATAATATTTTTTCTTAAGACTTAATCAATCATTTTGTGAGTAGTACAGAGTGAATGAGGGATGCAGAGTCAGACCAATTTGCTGATACCTTACTTACTGGCTTTGTGATCATGGTCAAGTTACTTAAACCGGTTTCTTTGTTTTCTCTTGTAAAATGGGGCTCATTAGTAACTCCAACATGGGTTTTTGTGAAGCTTTATTGGGATAAAAATGTTTAAAAATAATTGGCTCAAAATATATGTTCAGTAAATATTTTCTTCCTTTGCTATTATTATAGGTCACTAAAGTTAAGCTTATTAAAGTATCCATAGGTTAGGATCAGTTAAACTAAGAAGGTTGTAAAATAGCCATGATACTGGCTTCTTTTGAGACTCAGTAAATTGCCCTTGAAATGTGACTGAATCTTCTGTATGGTCAATTTTAAGGGGAAATTTGAATTTTTAAAAGATCTGGTTCTGATATCTGGGTCCAAATAATCTTAGGGTCAGGGCAAAATTTGTCTTTATAGGTTTAACTTGTGTAGTTTATTGGCAAACCATAATGACATCAAAATTCTTTTTTCTGAAGATTGATAATTTTTATTATTGGATTGGCTGGTAGACAGCAATTAAAAAAGGTGTTAGGTGGAGGTGTAGTTCAGTGTTAGAGCCCTTGCTTCACACGTGTGAATTCCTGTTTCCATCAATATCACAACACACACCCATGTACACATACACACATATACCTGCATGCATGCTCATAAAGAAAAATATCCTCATAAGTGATTGTTCCTACATTTTTGTTCCTACATTTAGTTGGCTAAAATAGCTGTGTATGTATTTGGATAAATCTAGTAAAATTTTCTTAGTTTTCCCAGGATAATAAAGGACAGATGTTTAACACTTGTGTGTGTGTGTTTCAAATGCTTCTTTTGCCAAGACCTCAAGCTTGGAGTTAGGGATAAGATACAAACAGCACAAACACAGTTTCTATGTTCAAGGAGCTTATTATTATTATTATATTAAATTTAAATATATTAAATGTTTGGGACAAAGACACATAGGCTTGATCTCAAAGGAATGTTACTTCCAAAACATAAATTTTACTCACACATTTACTTAAATTATAAGCAATGCCTAAAAGCTATATTCTGCACAAATGTTTTTAGTCTGTAGAATTTGGTATAATTTACTTTAATGTAAGTGATCATGTTCAAAGATTTTCCTAATTTAGAATTTTCAGAATATTGGAAAACTGTGTAACAAAACCAGTTAGTTAAGATAACACAGATTTTGAATTTAAGATCTTTTGATCTTGAGCTGGACTACAGTTTATCTTTGACTATCAAAATAACAAGGCTATTTAAATTTTTAATATTTCTATTAGCACATGTTTGCAGTACATAATGATCACGTTCATTGTGGGGGAGTTGATACATGTACATAATCTATTTTAATTCTTTTTACTGACTTCTCCTTGTTTTCCTCCTCCTTCCATCTCTTAGTCCATTTCCCACTTGCAAATAGTCTATCTCCCTGTTTCCTATGATCTGTTCTCTAGAAAATAAAAGGATGGTAAAAATGTCACTAAGCTTAAATCAAACTTATACAGCAGAAGTGACTCACTTATTACAAAGACAAAGTACAAAAACCTATAAGATAACCTTTTTTCCTTATGGAACACTGTTATTTTGACCTTAGAAATCAATACTTGGGTGGTTACTATCTCATGGGTAGTTGCTATAATGAGCTGAAATAATAAAATTGCATTTTGCAAAATTGCACTCTTTAAAACTGTTCTATAATTTTCTCTTTTCTTTCTTCTGACTGAATTTGACATCTTCATAGCTTAAAATGAATGTGATTGAATCTTTTTGCTACTTTTCCTACAGTTAGAGGCAATATTGTAAATCTCAAAATGTGTCATTGGGCCAGTTGCATTAGAAATATTCAGGGGAGCTTTGACAAATCTCAAGTCTGAGTTGCTTTGGGCACAGCCCAGATGTACATATTTTAGTAGTGCTCCCTAGCTGATCCTGATTGTGCAATGAATTTTGGAATTGTCACCTCTAGGATGGTATCACTGGCTTCAGCTATATTCCTATTAAGCTGGTATCTCCCTAAACCACTGTCTTTGATCCCTGGTAGAGTCCTCTAATTAAACTTCTTGGCATAGATACTTCTCCTTTTCTTTCCTGCCCTCAGGGTAAGGGAATACCGACTAGCACAGAGCACAGTCAGGAGACTGGACCCCTTGCTATTCTCTCTAGTCTCCGCAGTCATTTCTGAGCCACCTATATCTTTGTACTAGCAATAGGCTGTGACTTTCTGTTCTCTTAAGTGTACCAGGTTCTTAAGCTTCCATAACCTTGCAAATGCTGTTTACCCTGCCCAGAAGAGCATTTCTCCATATTTACATGCCTCATCTCTACTTACTGTTAAGGCAAATGACAGCATTACACCGTGGAACCCTGTGCTATTCTCTGCTGAATGAGGTTCTATACTTTCATAGAATTCAGTGTATCAGCCCTGAAAAAATGTGCTCATTTTGTACTTTCCCCTTAAGTAAAGAGCTTGCATTTCTATGTATTTAGCACTTAGCACATGTCTAGTGCACAGTAGGCACTGAGTCAGTATTGTTTTTAAGGAATGAATGACCAATATTAACCAGAAGCTTTTTTGTGGTCACTGTAACAATGGCTTAGTGGGCATCTGGTTGCATACTAGAAATAAGAAAATGGCTTTGCTGAAATTTATGCTGTAAACTCTGTTCTGTTTTATACATAAAACATTGTAGTTTTCTGGTAGTACCCCAAACTTTGTTTTAGTGTATGCATGCAAACATTACTTCTTTAAAAAATATTAAGCAGAATTTTCCAGTTGCGACAGCATGTGCCTGAAATCCCAGCACGTGGGAGGCTGTGGCAGGGTGATCGCAGTGAGTTTGAGGTCACCCTAGGGTACATAGTGAGGGTAAGGCCTTGAACTATGTAGCAAGACCTTGTCTCAAATATTTAAAAAAGAAAAAATAGCATAAAAAATTAAAGTATATCTAAACTCATCAAAAGAACTATGGTATTTTATATTTGCTTGTCTGGAAATAATACATATCTAACACTTTAAAAATTTGGCATTAAATGTGTAGCAGAGTATAAAATCTGTTACACTGAATTATCCTGTGATTAAATTTATCCAGGAGAACTTTTGCAAGTTAGACAAGGGTAAGTCTGTTACCTGTTTTGGAAGGGAAATGACTCTGCTCTGAGACAGTCCTACAAAGTGCTATACTTTAAATGAACAGAATGTGCCATTATTAAGGACAGGCCAACTAAAACAGAAGCCAGGCCATAAGGAGTAGAGCAAATAGGGAACAGTAGATATGGAGATGGCACCATATGGGAAGTTTCATTTGATGATATCTCAGGTTTTTATCTTCTTACAATAAACCTTTTAATCAATAACTTTGGCAGAGACGTACAATTAAGTTTGTGCAGGCCCAAAACAGACAGGCATAGCACAGATGACAACTGATTGAAATTTTGAATAAAATGTTCTTGATTGTTGGTCAAACCAACTAATGTTTATTACACGGATGTGAATTCTTCTAGACAGTTTCGTAAGGATAGGATAATAGTGACTTTTGTTAATTGCTTAAATAGAAAAGACCATGGGGTTTTAATTGATCACCAACTAAATATGAATCTTCAGTGTATTGTGAATAGAAGCATGATGTTGAGGTCATATATATTTATTCAGAATATTGTGGCTGATTTAAAATCACTGTATCACTTTGTCAATTTAGCCACATCATGTATCTTGGCTTTTTGGCTTTAAATTGACATTATTAGTAAATAGCATAAGAGGTTATTGTTAATATGCATATGCAGATAATTAGGTAAATGCTAATATTAATTTGTGAATGCTGAAAAGTTAATGCAATGCTAGATTGTTTTAGTGGAAGTATAGTCCAACCAAGCATCATATAAATCATATTAGGCAATGGTCAGAACAATTGATTAAAATTTTGTTGAGGGTAGTGGTTGTATCTGAGTCATTCACCATTCTCTAATGAACCCCTTTGATATCTTTAAAAAGAATATTTTGAGAAATAGATTCATTTGTAATATTAAATCTTGGAGGAGTCACATTTTAAGAGACAAAACAAAGAGACCAAGATAGAGATATAAAGATATGTAGAAATATTATATGATGATTAATTAAAACAACTAAGTATATAAAGCTGGGAAAAAGATCCTTGTACTGAACCAACTGACAAAACAGGTAAGCATCTAGGAAAACAATGTACTGTATACTTGATTTCTTTATAAATACAAAGGATTAGGAACAATAAAGGAGGCAGAAGAAGCTGGTGACTAAAGGAAAATCGTGGTTCTAGTTTAATTTTTCCAATGAACAGGAAGCTTTCTCTAATCTTTAGGTGCCAAAAATAGGACAGCAGAAATGTTTGGGGGAAGAAACAACTTCCTAGAATTCATCAATTCATATTGTTGATAGAACACTAAGTAATTTTCATTTCTTCTGCTAACAAATTAGTGATAACAAAGGAACATTGGGCCTTGGGCTGTAAATTAAAAATCAGATAATAGAGAAACAGTGGGAAATTTATTATGTAACAGCAAGTTATTATGATTTCTATATTTTCCCCTTGGATTAAAAAGCCACCTAGGAACAACAAAAAGTCTACCTGTGAATCTGAAATGAACAAAAATAACATGCTTTTGGTTAAGACAGGAATGACCACCATATTACATCATCTTCCCAGGAAAGGCTATAATGATTCTAGTGATCAGTAGTTAGTAAGAAATGAGTATGATTCAAGCAGTTTTTCCATTTTTCTTCTCTGCTAAGCTACCTGTCTTATATGAATCAATTTATTCACTGTTGACTCTGAATGTGTTTGCGTAGTTGAATGAATAGAATTCTAAAGTTGGTATTTGTGCAATGTTTGCTAAACTTATTTAATTATAGGATTTGTTTGAGATTCTTATTAGAAATCTTTCAGAGATTTTGATCCTGAAAGTCTTATTAACTCATATCTTTAAGACTTACTGTTTCTGATGGCCGTGATTTTTTCATCTCCCTAGTCAGCCAACCTGTAGCAAGAACCCTTTGGATGGTCTCTGCTATTATGAGAGTGTATCCTTCATGGATTCAAACATTTTGCTCACCTCTGTTCTCAAATATTTTAATTACTTATCTAGATATAGCTGACATATGACTCTAAGATTACTGTTCCTGTGTTTTGAACAAGAATGCAAGTTAGGGCATTGTAATTAGGGCATTACAAGGAAAGCCACAAGTGCTTACGAGTCACATAGAAAACAAACATAAGGGTTTTTTGGTTGGGCTACAATAAAGCCAGAAGTCACAAGGGCATGCATTCCCTGAAGAAGCACTTGGCTCAGTGGTGAAATACAACTGGTGTCTTAAAAAGAATTCTTGCTACCTCTTGGTTTTTAAAATATTCTCTAATAGTATATCATGTATCAGAGTGACAAAAATCTGTGTTGTAAGATGACTGCTAGATACAAAAGAAGAAATCATTTACATAGCTTGGCTGGCCACCTGGGTTGGCATGGTATTGACCCGGGAAGAGGTGCCAACCTATGACTTCAGCTCTTGTATAGCTGTATAAAAAAAATTCAAAATGAAATTGGATCAAAATCACTTATGAAATCTCACAATTAGTTCTTTTAGTAGCTATGAGTCACCCTGAAATAGCAGCATAACCTGTTCAAGAACAAGAAAGTCTCACTTACTTTGAACCTCCAAAGCCCTCCGATATCTTCAGTCCTCTCAAAGCAAGTGGGTTCAAGTCCCTCATCCACACAGCATTTCAGAGAGATCAAGCCACTGACCCCAGCTCCAATTACTGCCACCTTCTTTGCCATTGCCCCCTGCCAGGAAATGGGCCAGTCATTAGCATTTAACCAAGACAAAAGGAAAGAGAATCCTTAAGATGTGGTCAGGTAAACTGGTCTTAAACACTGTATCTGTGGTAATTTAAGAAGCAGCACTAATTGAATATGTAATGACTCACTAATCAAACTCAAGTCTTTTTCCCCCATTGAGAGAAGCTGAGTGGTCTCCTGGACTTACAGCATCTTGGTTTTAACATGAAAAAGCAACCACTTAATGAGACAAATTATTCAGTAACATGACTAGGCATGGGAGCCCAAGCTCCAGTTAGGGTCTTTCAAATCCTGAGGGTTTCCCCCTCTCAGCTTCTTGCCCCAGCTATCATTCTTACCTTTGTTTTTGTCTTGGGTTTGACAGAATAGTTTTCTTTATTGTTGTGTGCTGGCAGACAGGGGAGTTTTTAAGAGTCCAAGATGACTGTGAGAAAGAGGAGGAGTCTCTTGCTCCTCCTCCAGCACTCTGCCAGCTGAGCCTCTAAGGCCTTCCTTAGGCAATCCTGAAGTTTTGCAAGAGGCTCACATCTTGAGGTCGAGAGTGATGATGGAATGTCCTCAAAAGAACAAAATCTACACTTAACGCATAAGATGCAGATAGTTTACATTTTTATAATAGGTGGAAGAAACACACATTGACCAACTGATACAACTGAATAAATTAAAAGAAGCTAAAATCATTTCTCATCTCACTACCTGGAGATATCCGTAATTACTGTAATCATTTTGGTATGTTCTTCCATCTCTTTGTACACACACATGTCCCTGAACAAAAATGGTATTGTACTGTAAGTGAAATTTCCAATTTTGCTTTTAGTTTCCAGTATGCTAATAACATCAAACCTGCAGGAGCACTTTAATGTTTGCATGGATTCCCTTTAGTTGATGGGAATCTCTACGTATCAGGCACTATTTCTGGTATAGCACTGTGCCTGTATGAGCAGATTATTTCCTTGTTCTTATGGAATCTGCATTTTTGTTCTGGCCTAGTTCTTTCAGACTTCATAAATTCGGGATCTTAGCATATTGTGGTATGGTTACCTGTTCCTAGATTGTTCGCTCTATCCAGACCTGTATCTTATTGCACCCGTATGTGTAAGCCAGCCTACAGGCAGCTGGCTTAGATGAAATTACTGGGACTTCTAAGATCTTCCTATTCCCTGTCCTCTTTTGGACTATAGGTATAGAACAAAATTTTTTATTAAATCTCAGATAATAAAGACTTCCTCTACCTTGAATATAGTCAAAATAGTGAAGGTGAAGAACTCTTCTTCCTAACCCAACAAGACCAGTGATTCTAAGGAAACTGAGATATTTTACATAAATTTATTGGATAAATATCAATCATTTTCAAGATGCTGACACTAAGTGCTGTAGATACCGTAATTAAAAAGAGAGGAAACTCTTTGTCCATGTGGACCTAGACTTCTAGGGCAGAGAGCCTGATAATCAATCAATAAAATAAAAGAAATAAATGGTAGATAATGAGAGCCATGACAAATAAAGCAAATAAATAAATAAATAAATAAAAATCAGGATCTCGGGAGTGCAGAAGTAAAGAATAGTTTCATAATGTTCGAGCAGGTATTCAGTGGACATATTTTCTTGGGAATTTCCCTAACTGAATTTGATTACTATGAAACGCTTTCTATGTTCCCACAATAAATGCAGCAAAGCTAGCAATGAATGACTGAGACACAAAAGAGCTGAACACAGTTCCCAGTTAAAAACAGAAAAGAGAATTGTTATTTCATTGACAGTTTGCAAATTTCAGAAGTAATCTTTGAACAGTTCGCCAGTTGTCTTCACTCTCCCTTCTCGAATTAACCATGACATCACAGATCGCGTGTTGGTGATAAGGTACAGAGAAGAGTGAACATCTAGACAGACTGGTAAATTTTTTAGCCATCAAAGCCCCTGGGAGATAACAGAGACAAATGTCTTGGTTCTCTACCAGAGGTAATCTATGTGGAGACATCAGTGCCATTTTTGTGTTACACTAAACATGTATCTGGGTTTGCAGAAGCATGTATCAGCTCACAGGTGAACCAGAAAACACCTGTTCAGTTTTCTTTAGTAGAGTTTTACATTTCTTCAAGGTTCTGGTATTATAAAAATACTGTATACTTTTGGTATGTCTCTTCTACATTTACTCATTTCTTGGGATAAACACCTAAAATAGGAGTTACCAAGTAAGAGTTTGTGGGTTTTAAAGTCTATAGTGCTCCTCAAAATTTAGTGTGCACAGGATACATTTGGAGTCTTGTTAAAATGCTTAGGGGGATTCAATGGATGTCGGACAGGTCTAAGATTCTTTATTTCAAACAAGCTTCCCAGTGATGCCTTAGACCAAATTTAGAGTTGCAAGTTTCTAGTATGTTTTGCCAGTTTGCCTTTCAAGAAACAGATTTGTTTTATTTATTTATTTATTTATTATTTTTGTCTTTTGAGACAGGGTCTTGCTATGCAGTTCAGGTTGGCCTTAGATTCACTTTGTAGCCTAGGCTGGTCTCGAACTTACAATGATTCTCCTACCTCAGCCTCCAAGTGCTGGGATTACAGGTGTGCACCACCACACCTGACTATCAGATATATTTTAAAAGTTTGTATTTATGAAGTGTTTTAAATGTTAAATGCATTGTATATACAATAATTCATTTTACTAGTTTAGCAACATAGGCGTTACCACCCAGTTCTTTTTATAGGTATGGAAACAGGATTGGCAGAATTATCATACCATATTACTAGAGAGATTAAGACCAACCAGGATGGTAATAAGCTTTTAAAAACTTTGTCACATCAGAAGCCACTGAAGAGACTTTCAGTGTTTAACCTAGAGGATATGTGTTGAAATTCCATAGTGATTGCTTTCAAGGAGTCTCTAGATGGAAAAGGTCAGGGAAGTTTGTTTTGGGTAGATTCAAAAATTTATTTAGGACTTGTGAATTCTTCTCACTGTTAGCTTTGAAGCAGAGGTTAGATGACCACTTATTAAAGAATAATGCCGCGATTCAGGTGGCATGTGATAGGAGAGTAAGTTGTTGCTATGTAACACAAGAGTCTAGCATCTGATATCAGACAGCCTATCATCATTTAAAGTTGTAAAATAGGTGCAAAGAAGCCGTGGGGACTTTGGATTGGATGCACAATTACCTTGGTTATTGAAGGAAAGTGGGGCTGTTGGCTGGTCATCCATATGCAGGGTGAGGGGTCCTGGAATCAAAGCATTTCTGGAAGAGTTCAAGTTCCCTTCCTTGTGGATACTCCTATGAGAACCATGTACATATCAAGCCTGTTATCTCTTCTTCCTTCATTTAAATCTATCACTCACAGATTTCAACAGAAAACTTCTGAAAACCAAGCCACACTTTCCGAAGAGCTGAGTGCCAGGAGGACACATTCTCTCATTAGGTTGCTTTAGAACTTAGGTAAACCACAAGCCAAGCTAGGCTTTGTGTCCCTTGACTCCAGACTGTGTTCAGATGAGCTCATCTGTGTTTCCTGTGTGATGCATGCAGTCTTGTCACTATCTCCAGCTGTGTGTTCTATATTTTCTGGGGCTGTTCCCTTTATAATGATTCCCCTGGAGCTTCTGGACCTGAGAGGGAACTGCAAAAGCACCTTTACTTCGTCTTTTAACATCTCATTGAAGAAGAAACTTACACAAAAGCAGTCAGCTTGCTACAGCATGTAAGAGGGAAATATTCCCTGGGCTAGATTTTTAAAACAAAAATTTTGTTGTAGTATAATTCCTACACTGTACAATCCAAATATTTGAAGTGTACAATTTAATGGTTTTTGTATATTCACAAGGTTGTATGATTATCACCATAATTTTAGAGCATTTTCATAACCTTTCAAAGAGCTCCTGTGTTTGTTTGCAATCACCCTCCATTTCCTTCCACATGTCCTTTGACCCCTAGCTCTAACCAAGTGCTAATTTAATTTCATTATCTATACATTTGCCTATTCTTGATAGTTCATATAAGTTGAATCACACTATGTGTGTATGAGAAAGGACAAGGGAGAGAGGGGAGGGGATGGACAGGGAAGGAGAGGGGGTGGGAAGGGGAGTGGAAGGAAGAGAGAGACAGACTTCTTTTACTTAGTGTAATATCACAAAAGTTCACTCATATTAAAGTATGCATCAGTAATTCATTTCATTTTCTTGTTGACAGTATTCCATTGTATGAAGACCATTTTTTGCTTATATAAATTGGCAGACATTTGAGTTTTTGTGGAGACATATTTTCATTTCTTTTGGGTATATATTTAGGCATGGTGTGGCTCTGTCATATGGTAACTCTGTATTTAGCAATTTGAAGGGCTGCCAAACTGTTTTTCAGACCGCTGTAGTATTTCATAGCCTCACTATGGTATGTGAGGGTTCCAGTCTCCCCACATTCTCTCCAACACTTGATAGTGTGCATCTTTTTTGGGTATAGCCATCCTAGTTAATATAAACTGAAATTTCACTGTAGTTTTAAATTACATTTTCCTAAGGGCTATTGGTATTGACATCTTTTAATACACTTGGTCAATTTATACTTTCTTTTGGAAAAATGTCTACTCTGATCTTTTGCCCATTTTGTCTTACTAGTATTAAGATTTTTAAAAAATATTTCAAATGAAGTTCTTTATCAGATGCATAACTTGCGAATACTTTCATCCCAGGTTTTTAAAAAATAATTTTCTTGATTGTGTCTGTGACGCACAAAAGTTTTACTTTTAACAAAGTATAATTATGTATTTTTTTTTGTACTTTTGGTGTCATATCTGTGAATTCTTTGCTTACCTGGGTGTTAGATTTTAATGAAATTTTCTAAAAATGCAAAGTTGCGTGGGGTTATTTTGAAAACCCAGAGTGGAAGCCATTGCTCAAAACAGGTGAGAGAACCCTTAGGTAGAGATGGGAGGCAACCTAACCAGAGGAGTGAGTGAGACACTCCAAATACCTGCCCTGTGTGTAGTAGCTGTCGTTTCCCAGAGATTTTCTAAGCTTTGCTTGATTGTTAGTGAAATCCTCCAAGAGATTAAATTTTGTTAATCACAGCTCTTAAATAAAAACACTGCTACACGGAAGGGTTAAATAAGGTGTTACAGTCACACAGTAAAGAGGGCTTTGGATCCAGGCCATCTAACTCCACAGGATGTGCCTTTAATCACCGTGTCAAACGCAGAGTGAGGTAGCAGGTATTCCGAGAAGTGTGTGTCAAAAGACATTAATTAAGATAATTAACTAAGTGAGTCCAGAGACTATCTAGGCTAGTTCTTCCTTCACACTTCAACTCTTCACCTTGCAGTGCAGAGATTGGAAACAGCAATATCAATTCTAACTTACAGAAAAAAGTTCAAAGTCCTTTCAGGTGTATTTATGTTTATATCCTTTCAAAGCCAGACAGCTTCCTAAACTTCATCCACAAATTTTGCCATTTCCTCAAATTTGGTCATTTGCAGAATTTCACAGCTGTTTTTTGAAAA